TCAAGCTGAAGTGTCAACGTACCACACCTTGGTCCGGCCACGGCGCTCCACCAGCATGGCATTCCTCGATCAGTCGCGGAAGAAACGGTGAGTCGGAATCCCTCAAGTACCGAGAGGCTCTAACGATGCACAAAGGACATCACTTCCAGCAAAATAGGTCATTTGAGGGTAAACGTCTCAGTTTGCAGAAAACGATGCCGTTTGCAGAAAGATGCATACACAAAAAAGCCAAGAAAAAACACACGTTGACCAAAAAGTTGTTTACATTTTGTCTATAGATAACAAATACAAATAAATTGCATCTGGACAAATCATCTGGAACAATCACAACCTTGACAAAAAATACATCTGGAGAGTGAGGAGGCCAAGATCTGCAAAGCTTTGCGGAAGCTCTAGGTCAGCAATTACTTACTGCCGCTCGAACCCGCGAATGAAAATAAGAACTGCCTCCCCAACAAAATTTGACCACCTTAAGCCAGTTCCTGACAATATGGATATGGCAATGGCCAATACCTGTACACTCCTGAGCACTACTACGACCACTTCACCTATCGGCAAGTGAGGATGAAAAAATACGTTCAAATCCAAAAACATGTGAGTTCCGCATCACCCAGGTCTCGATTCTCGATGAGAGCCATGGTTTCAAGGTCATAGCAAAGAAATATGTGCATTTAATTTCCGGGCAAATGATCTTTTAGCCATTAAAAAATACATGCCATCGCAATAGCTGGTTCAAATTGCATTCCCCTCGCACGATGTACAGAACTTTCTCCATTTCGGCCATGTCAGGGTGCAAGTACGTATGTGACGTACAACCAAAAGCTCCAAGGCACTTTGATCTTGAAGTTCTCTGAAGGCCATCTCTCTGAGTTCGAGATCAGAGGAGTGAGAAACAGACATACCAGTCAAAAATCTGGAAAAAATCCTGTTTGCCAAACTGAAACGTGTGTCGAATGACACCTTTGCAAGTGGGGTCCAAACTTGCGCCAAACCTGTGATGGTCCAAACTTGGCAACTGCGAAACCTGAACCACGGAGTACAACAATCGTTGAGAACTCCACGCCTGCTGAGGGATGAACATCGGGCGAGGCGTGAAGACAGGGAAGGTACTTGCAAGATAAACCCCTCTGCTCAAGCCGCGAAAGGAACCAAGGGAGTTGGAAACAGCGAATTTGTCTGGGACAGGGTCCGAACAAGACAAGTGAAAACCAAAACCTCCCCCCCGAGTTGGCTGCCAGTGTTCGAAGCCAAAGGCACCACGGAGTTGTTCGAGAGACACCTGTATTGTTGTTGTGCCAGAATGGAGCCACGCTGAAGGTCCATCAGGATCATATGACAAAAACCTTGCCACGATCCAAGCTCCTTTCTTCTTGGTGCCTCTTCCTTTGGGAATTTGCCATCGCCAATAGGCACAGCTTTGGGCAGGAAGGAGGTCTTTCTGGTTGGTGGTGGCTGTTTTGCGCAGGAGTGCTCTGCGAAGTGCTTGGCTGGTGTTGATGTCAGCCAATGCTCTCATTGCTTCTGCTCGTAGTATGTCTGGACGAATTCGTCCTTGTTGCACTGGATGTGTGATGAGCGACATGTCGTCCTGGAGCAAGCCGCTTGCAACTCTTGGAATCTGGCCAAAGACAGCCATATATGGAGGTCTGCCATGAGTGTAGGTCATGGAGTTGATGGCGTGAACTGCGCCATCCAATGCTTGATCAAAGTCGTTGACGTCCATGATGGATTCCGCGTCAATGATGCGCTCCAGGATGCCGCGGAGGACACTATTCCTTCTTTCGACCAAGCCAATCCTCCATGTCGCTCCACGTAGTTGCGGAAGTTGAGGGCAAAATTGCCACCTGGGTCAACCCGAATGGTTTGTGGAAATCCATAGGGCTTGAACCAGAGATCTCGGAACAGCTTCAACGTTGTTTCACTGCTGAGATCTGGTAGTCTGGCAGCTTGATGAAGTAGCGTGGACTGATCCACAATTCCAAGAATGGCATGGTTGATTCCAAGGACATCTCTGCAGTAGAACACATCGCTCTGTAGTGCATCGTTGAATTGGCCAATATTGGCTGTTGGCATGGCTGAGGGTCGTGGTTGCAAAGGTGGTTTGGATCTGCTGCAGCTGGCACAAACCATGTGTTTGACTGCAGTGATCATATGCTTGCTGACTGCCCCTTGCCATGCTAGTAGTCGAAAAGGTTCTTTTTCACTGGGATGTCCAAGGTTAAGATGCAGCCTTGTGACGGCTGATTTAACTTCCTGTGGAACTTCGGCTGGACATCCAGGAAACGTGATTGTTGATATGTTGGATGTAGAAGTCGTTGGCCTCTGTGTTGGTGGATTGGAGCTTGAAGGTTGTGGTTGAGCATCTGTTGATTGTGGTTGTGATGAAGTGGTATCAGGTCGTGGTTCACCATAGCCGTACCAAAAGCAGCCATAGGCCACGGCTTTGCTGAAGCGCTGCTTTGGAAAATGATTAAGTCCATCAAGTGCTTCAGCCTCAACCACTATTTGCCCATCTTGATACTCAAGAATCGCTCCACGGTGGGTGAAGAAGAATTCGCGTGGAAGTCTCCGTTGTATTGGTGTCCGAACAATTTGAACCTTGGTCAATTCCCATGGCACCAGATCTGCAACTTGTTGGTGGATGGGATCATAGTCGGCCAGGGTGAGAGTCTTGCTGGAGGTGGAGTTGAAGACTCTGTGAATGTCGTTGAGCACCTTGGACCAAGCTGCAGGGTCTTGGACTGGTTCTTGATAAAGTACTTCCACGGTCTTCACAAACCTCTGTGGCCATCGTCTGCGAGGGCCTTCAGGATAGCTCGGCAGAGTTTGATGGGATATCGAGCGCTCAGCCTCACCTCTTTGCCAATGAGTGGAACGCATTGTTCTTGTTCAGCAGGTGTCATCTTTTTGGATACTGCTGCAGCAATCTCCGCAGAGTTGGTGGTCCATTGGTATGTCTTCAGGATTGGGTCGCCATTGCTGTTGCAAGCTCCATAGGCACCTGCATGGCATTTGATGACGTAGACATCATCGCGTGAGGCCAGCTCTTGAACTTTTCAGGAAGGTCCCAGATGCGAGACTTCTCTGGGTTTTCGTAGAGAAAGAAGTTGCCATCAGCAATTTGTCTAAGGCAGGACTGCACTCCTTCCCTGACAAGTGGCAACTGATCTTCTCGTAGGGCTTCAAGCTCTTGAAGTCTGTTTTTGCCGGCATAGTTCAGGTTCTCGTTGAAGATATTCCAGTGAGTGCACTCCGTCTCCACAACGACCAGCAATGGTGAGAACTGCTTCTGAGCTTGTCGCCATGACCTCTTATATTTGTCCTTGGTCATGTCGTGGCCGTACACAAGGTCGAAGGGCTCGAGGGCCTTGAGGTCATACTGATGGGCGAGGAAGCTGATGTCGGCATAGCCAGCATAGAGCTCCATGATGTCAATCTTGGGCAAGTTGATAGCTGCAGGAAGCTTGTCATAGGCCTGCAGCTCGGCTTCCAAAACTTGAGAAGACCTCTCAAGTTGTCCGCTCAGCTGGCGAGCTCTTCCCAGTCGTAATCGGACTGGTCTTGAATCAGCATGTCCAATTCGTCCTGTTCCTCCTCCAGGTCGTCTGATTTGATCGATGCCAAGGCCTTCCATGGGTTCTCTTCGATGGTCTGCGTGGCTGCTTTGCCCTTGGACTTGGCTTGGCTCTTGGGTGCCGCCTTTGAGGTCAAAGCTCGGTACCCTGAGTTCTTCGAAGGCTTTGAGGGTGCCTTCTTGGTCGAAGCCATTGGGTTTGTCCATGAGCTGTCCAACACAGTTGTGGAGGAAGGCGGTGGCAGCCGTGAGGAACCAGAGGACTTTATGTGTTGCACCCATCCCTCGTTCTCCTAGTCGTACTTCCACTGGAGATTGCATTCCAGGCACAGCGCGAAGCTTCCGTGGCGATTTCCGCTTCGCTTGATGTAGCGGTGCTGGCATGACGTCTTGGGCCCCTTTGTCCCTGGTGGTGCAGTTCATGCCGTCGTCGAGGTCAAGGTCATAGGTGTCTTCAGAAACCTTTGGGCGTGTCGTGCCCAGTGCATGGCCTTGCCCACCAGGTCTCGCCAGTTGATCATCCATGTCGGAGGTGAGCGAGGGGCGATCTCCATGTTCTTTGAGACGCCAAAGGAGTGAGATTGATGTACTCCTTGTGCATGTGCTGATTTCCTTCTTTCAAACACTCATCTCGAAAAACGTTCCAAAGTTGAAGTGCTTGTGGCATGTTGGTGAAATCTGCAATGTTGATGCCTACATGACCATTCACAATCTGCAAGTTCATGGACGTGTTGAATTTTGTGAGGTGAACGACATGTTTGCCAAGGTCTATGACGGCACCGACATCTGTCAACCATGTTCTACTTGCCAAGCATGGAATATGCGCATCCAATATGCAAGGGGCGCCTTTTTGGCATCTGCTAGTCTAACCTGATTGTTGCATCCAACCATGGTTTTCATGACAAAAATCTGGTGCGCCTCATGCTCCAGCGGCATATCGTCATCGTCGTCAGGGCCGCCATGGTAGTTCATGAAGTGAACGGACTTGTTGGGCTTCTTGCCAGTGTCCTTGTCCCCTTTTCCTTTGGAATGCCCTTTGGCTGAGACTTGGCACTCTGGGTCACCTGCCCAATGTCCTTGGATTCCGCAGGCAGAGCATGTCGTCGTCTTCTTGCGGTCGGCAATGCTTCGCTTGGGCATGTTGCTAGGAGTTCCATATTTTCTGGCCTGCATGACCCCTGCTAACTTCTTGGCGGTGATGGTGAAGATCTCGGCAATCTCCGGGTCGTTCATGTCGAAGACATCATCGTTGGTGTCCTCATCGGCATACTGCTGTTGCTCATCCATCTCGCCATCATCGCACTGTTCTTGTTCAGGGGCATCTTCATCATTTGGCTCAGCATCATTTTCGGCTGGTTCAGCTGTTTCCTCCTTGACATTCTCGGTGGCCATGACTTGTCGTCTCGGTCCAGTCTTGCTGCTCCCCTTCCCTTTGCCACCACTAGCTGAATTGCCAGGTCGCATCGCAGGTCGCTGTTGTTGTCCAGCTGGTGGAGGAGGTGGTGCACGGTGATCTGGTCATTGAAACATCAAAACGTCCTTGATGGTGTCAAAGTCGAGGCTCTGCATAGATCCGATCAACACTTGGCGTTGATGCTCATGGCTAAGCTTGCTTCGCTCAAGAAGTCGTGCGCCCCTTGCTTCCTTGTCGTACATTTTCTCCACATTGATCTCCACAGTGTTCAACGCGCGTTCTGTGCGCTGATATCGATTGATATATGAGCGCATGCCTTCTTGGGGATTGCGATATATGTGCTCATAGTCAGCCAGCAACTTCCTTTTGACGTGGACTGAACGGATGAACTTGACTCCATTCTCGTTGTAGATGTTGGAGATGCCGGCATCTTCCAATTCCTCTTCCAATTCACCCTTGAGCGAGTTGAAGAGAAGGATGCCTGCCTCATTCTTTGGGACGTAGTTACGCACCTGATGGTGCCATAGTTCAACTCGTTTCATCCACTTCCTGAATGCTCGAAGGTCGCCCTTGTCATAGTGCCAGGACGGTGCAGCTGGAGGCTGTCCACCTCGAAACCTCACACCAGGAACAGGTCCTTTCAAGGAGTTCCAAGATCTTGATGATGAAGAAGAGGGTGACTTAGCTGGTGTGTTGTCCCGTTTGGGTGTACCTGCAACTGGAGTCCTTGGTGGTGTTCCCTGTGCATTGGGCGTACCAGGCAAGTTCAGTGGGATGTTTTCTGGAATAGGCACAGGTGCATCTTCTAACCTGTTACCGCTACGCCTTCTTCTCCTTCTAAGTCCACCTATGGGCTGATCTGGGTCAATGATGGGGTCATCAATCCTTGACTCAGAATCTGCAAACTCCGAAGGTGCTGAAGAAGATGAAGGCGCGGCGCTGAAGGAGGTCCTGCACGGCGCTGCAAAGAAGGTTGCCATGCACGTTCACTGCCCGATGGTGGGTTATCCATTGGTCCAGGAAGTCCTGAATCATGCCATAGGTCTTGGGGTGAATGATGAAGGTGAAGGTCATTCGGGATAGATCTCTGAAATGCAGTAGTGCTAGGTGGAGCATCCATAGCTATGCCTGAGTGCATCGCAGCGGCTTTGGGGAGATTGGGCTCATGTCCTGAATCATCTGGCACAAAGACCCATCTGCCACCCACGGCCGGCTTGGCCTCGAAGTAGCTAGAGCCACACACAGTGCACCTCCACAAGTTGTCGATCCAGCAGAATTCATCCTGCCAGCAGTCAGCACATCTCCAATTGTCGTCCCTGTCAATGGGATGGTGTGACACGTCATCACCTGCAAAGGAGGAAGCTTCGCCGCCAGAAGAACTCGCCAGGTCGCCGACATGGGCCAGTCTCGACGTTTCCACTCGAAGGTCACGGATGTTGGGCATGGCTCTAAGAAACAGCGGATGGCAAAAGGCCTATTGTGAGGCTCCGCTACCAACACAGCAAAGTGCGTGCGGCAGCACTTGCATACTTTTCATACAAATGGCTTGAGGTTCGCACCTGCGGATTCGGCGCACAGCTGGGTGAAAAATGATGTCTCTGCAAAATGATCATGGATTCTTCTGCTCTGAATGCCTTGAAACTGACAGTTACTAACCATGGAAGTATTATCTATCAGTAACCATTCATTAATGGTCAGTAACCAATAGTAATCATGCATAGTAACTATTGGTAGTGATTGGAAAAAAAACAGTACCAAGAGTTAAACACCCCCTTAGAAACCATGGTAAAAAAGTAGGGAATCTCCACATTTTGTTGGGACTATTTATGGGGTGTTTAATATTAGGGTGATGAGATTAGTATCCATGAAAAATGATGAACATTGGGGAATATTCTAAATGGTAAGATTATATTTTTTTGGCCCTGAAACAGAAACATGGGGAGATTACGAGTGGAAATATGACTAACCATGAAAAATGGGAGATTATGGTTGGTAATTGAGGTATGGTATATGGTACTAAAAAAAAACAGGAGCATCCATGACGATGGTTAATCTTAGAGACCCACTCCAAACTAGGCAAATCACTGTTGGGGCTGATGTGTTTCCTGCCGTGAGACTCCAGCCCTGCACAATAGTGACCTTTGCAACACCTTTGCGTGAAAAAACACTGTTCAACACCAAAGTTTGAACTTCTGTTTCTAGGTCCACCTGGAAACACCTGGATGTGAAACACTGTTTCTATTTATAGTTCCACCAAAACTGTTTTTATTAAACACTGTTTCTATTTTTATCTGTTGTAAAAATAGGTCCACCTGGATGTTCGAACGATTTGTTGTCACCCAAAAGTTCCAACTTTTGTCAGGGTATCAGGGTGTCCCCCCCCGTTGCAACCAGATGATTAATGGGAAGTATTATCTATCAGTAACTATTCATTAATGATCAGTAACCATTAATGGTTAACCATAGTTACTATTGGTTACTGACCATTAATGATAGTTACTAACAATGGAAGTATTATCTATCAGTAAATTTCAAGCCAAGCAACTTGGCTTCGGCGTCATTCGGTGCTTCCCCTGCTTCCACTTCGAGACCTTTCGAGGTCAACATCTCTAGCCTTGGAGCAGCGGAGCGTTGGTTTAGAATGTATCTATTAAAGAAACAAACTATATAGTTCATGATAGTTCAATATAGTTCAATATATATATATACATCATCATCATTCATACAATTATATATACAATATATAATATGCATAAAATGTGCTTGTATATACATGGATATACACAAACGCATCCAACAGAACAGTTCTTTGATGATGGAGATATCACCAACAACAATGGGAACATCAACGTTGCGAACGTTGTTTTCTTTTGTTGTGGTTCTGTGGTTGGTGGATTCTATATAGTGCTCTATACTATACACATTTGCAACAATGTTGCCATCAACCATCGATCATCAACCAACAAAGGGTTTTGCCACTACCAACCCTTTGAACAGTGTATTTCAGACACAATTAAAGTGCAAGAAAGCTTCAGCCGGACTTTTGGGAAGACATGAGAACCAAACAGGAGGGAACGGAGGTTTGACAGTCCTACCATTGAGTTCTACACACCTCGCCTTTTCCATTAGACGACTTGTCTTTAGTTTAGCAGGTATGGTTCAGGATGTCAGACTCGTTTTTGGACTCCTCCATTCACCGATTGCAACGTCTCCCCGAGTTGATTTTTGGGTCACTACCTCAGGATGTAGCTCAAATCCAGTGGTCTATCAATGTTCATCATCAAAAAAGTCCCCCATCATAGTCATCATTCGAGGTGCGTGCGTGCAGGGGTCTGTGCGGCAGGGGTCTCGTTTTCAGATCCATCTGGGTGTGGCACTGAACATATTCAATCATATTTTTCCCATCAAACCGTAATCCAAAAACACTATGAACACCTTGGAAAACCGTATTTCAATAACCCAATAAAAACATAAGTGGTTGGTGGTGCAACAACCATCTTGAAAATATGAAAGACTTCGTCAAATGAGATAATTATTTTTATTCCCAATATTAATGGAAAGTCATAATCCAGTCACCACCAACCAGAAAGGGCTCCTGTGGGTCGGTTTTTCTTCATCCCAGGGACCATCCCTTCTCTTCCAGCTCTTGAAAGATATGCTGCGGCAAGGGGAGTATCTGCCTTGGGCCCACCGTTGAGTCAATGGCTTGGTTTTTTTCTTGGGAAAATCCTAAGAGAAAAACCAGAAGTGTTGGATAGGTTCACCAGCCAGGAGAGTTTTTAAGGCTTTTCCTGCAGATCTTCCTAAAAAACAGCGATTCTGGGAGTGAGTGACTAAAAATTTCGTATCATAGAATTACGGCCAGGCGCTGTGTGTTGCCCGCAGATTTACAGGGACGTTCCCGGCAGTCTTATGAAGATATCTGACATGTTCGAAGGAAGTTTAGAAGTCAAACTTCCGACAATATGGACAGATGAAAAGCAGAGCAGGGAAGAGGAAGAGATAGAGAAAGATTAGAAGAAAGAAGAGTAGAAGAGAAAGAGTAAGAAGAAAGAAGATGGAGATGCGCGAAAAGGTAGGAAAGTCGCGAAACACTGTGTTTTTCCAATGGTTTGTGGCTCCGGAGGGTCGAAAAGTAGGCTCGCAAAAGCGGCGGGTGCGGAGCCAGCTGGCGAGATGAGAGATGAAAAGTTGCACGCCGTTGTGGCGCGAAGCACATTTCCAAGTCAAAATGCACAAAACACCTCAGCTTCGGACCACTTTTGGAAGGTTCGGATGTTGAAAAAGTGCACGCCGTTGTGGCGCGAAGCACATTTCGAAGTCAAAATGCACAAAACACCTCAGCTTCGGACCACTTTTGGAAGGTTCGGATGTTGAAAAAGTGCACGCCGTTGTGGCGCGAAGCACATTTCCAAGTCAAAATTTACAAAACACACCATTGTCGGACCACTTTTGGAAGTTGCGATGTCGAAAAAGTGCACGCCGTTGTGGTGCAAAGATCCTCCTTCCCATTCCCTGGGGGGGGTTGGGGGGCCCCATTTTGTAGTGAACCAACCCCTGTCTCTACAAAATGGTTCTGGTACACAGTCTCCATCCTACAAAATGGTCTGTCTATAACCCATGGCTCTACAAAATGGTAGTGCCTGTCACCTGTTTTGATCCACAAATATTTTGACAATTTAGTCAAAAAATGATCAAACCAGTGCATTCATGATTTTATAAAGCATATAAAAATCCCAGAGCCATTTTGTAGAGCCTCTATCTTGTCAAGACCTCAGCGTCAACTGCCTTTTTCCCAGTGCCATTTTGTAGGGTTTTTACCCTCTAGTCGTCTTCACTCCTCCTTTTCGGAGGTGGATCCATTTTTTTCCCCACCTGCCAGGTGAGGGTTGTTAGATTTTATCTAAGTTGCCTGGTCCTCCTCCTCCTCCTGCCGCCTCCTCCTCCTCTCCTCCTCCTCTCGTTGTCCTCCTCCTCTCGTTGTCCTCCTCGTCCTCCTGCTCAACTGCGACTCGCGATCCACAGTGTTCGCTGTCGGACCTCAACCACGACCATCCACGCCCAGTGTTCCCTGCCGGACCTCCACCACGACCATCCACGCCCAGTGTTCCCTGCCGGACCTCAACCACGACCATCCACGCCCAGTGTTCCCTGCCGGACCTCAACCACGACCATCCACGCCCAGTGTTCCCTGCCGGACCTCAACCACGACCATCCACGCCCAGTGTTCCCTGCCGGACCTCAACCACGACCATCCACGCCCAGTGTTCCCTGCCGGACCTCAACCACGACCATCCACGCCCAGTGTTCCCTGCCGGACCTCAACCGCGAGTATCCACGCCAAGTGTTCCCTGCCGACCGCAGGTAGGAGATATGGGACAAAGAATGTGCAGAAGAAAGTTAGAAAGAATGTCAGAAAGATATACCAGATAAGAATGCCAGATAGAATGCCAGAAGATATGTCAGATAGAATGCCAGAAGATATGCCAGATAGAATGCAGAAGATTTGCCAGATAGAATGCCAGAAGATATGTCAGATAGAATGCCAGAAGATATGCCAGATAGAATGCCAGAAGATTTGCCAGATAGAATGCCACAAGAAAATGCCAGAAGATATGCCAGATAGAATGCCAGAAGATATGTCAGATAGAATGCCAGAAGATTTGCCAGTAAGAAAATCTATAAATGTCATGGTGGGGATCACACGAAGTAAAGTAATTTCATGCAACTTTTGCAGCATGAATATGTTTCTTTTTTTTGCCAACAATGTGCTGGCAATCCTTCTGAAGATGGAAACATTTTCCGGTTCCAGTATGTTCCAATCATAAAAACGGTCCCAGACCAGAAACGAAGATCAGGAGAAGAATGCTATTTTGACACAGATCTTCCAGGGAACAATCGGTATCCAGAAGGATCCAGAAGGAACAAATTCAATCACAATTCTTTGCCACTGCTCTTTTCAACACAATCATAAAAACAGGGTCTATCTTCAGACCTACACCAGTCTACAAAATGGTCGACTCTAGGCAGCAGGCCTAACCATTTTCTAGAAAAAACATACCCCATGGGTTATAGACAGACCATTTTGTAGGATGGAGACTGTGTACTGGAGCCATTTTGCAGAGAAAAGGGGTGGTTCACTACAAAATGCTCCCCCCCCCCAACCTCACCCAGGAAATGGCAAGGGGGATTTTGAAAGTATTTGGGGTCTAGGGGTACATTTACAAAATGGTACATTTATTGAAACGATGGTTTCTCTACAGGATGGCTAGCTGATTTTTCTTTGTCAATGACTAATTCACATTTTTAAAAGCACCAAATCACACCCTTAAAAACATCTACAAAATGGCTTTTTGTTTGTTACAAAATGGTTTGTCTTGGTGCCCATAAATGATCATGCCTTCAAAATAAAAATTATAAAACCATGTAAAACCCACAAATTACTCCAAAATGGCATGCTCGACCCCATATAAGGCCAACACTTCCCATAAAATTATGCCATATAGGCACCCCAACCCCCCTCGATCTGTGGAGGAAATGGCCAAGGGGGTGTGCGAAGCACATTTCCAAGTCAAAATGTACAAAGCACCACCTGTTCGCGACACTTTTGGAAGTGCGATTGTCGCAAAAGTGTACGCGTTGTGGTGCGAAGCACATTTCCAAGTCAAAATGTACAAAACACCACATGTTCGCGCCACTTTTGGAGGTTCGGATGTTGAAAAAGTGCAGCCATTGTAGCGCGAAGCACATTCCAAGTCAAAATGTACAAAACACCACATGTTCGCGCCACTTTTGGAGGTTCAGATGTCGCTTCGCTTCAAGACACTACATTACAGGACATTCAATACACTACACTCCAGTACGCTACATTACACTCCAGTACACTCCACTACACTAAATTACACTACACCACACTACATTACACTGAATGACACTGCAACACAGATAGACAGGTAGACAGCTAGACAGATAGACAGATGAAAGGGAGAGATAGATAGACAGGTAGATAGATAGATAGATAGGTAATTAGATGAAAGAGATAGAGAGAGAGAGAGAGAGAGAGAGAGGCCAGTTGGGTAGATGAGATAGATAGCTAGATGGCTAGACAGATAGACAGACACACAGACAGATAGATAGATAGATAGATAGACAGATAGACAGATAGATAGATAGATAGATAGACACATCGATAGATACATAGATCGATACATGGAGAGATAGATAGATACATAGAGAGATAGCTAGATAGACAGATAGATAGATAGAGAGATAGATAGATAGATCGATAGATAGATAGATCGATAGATAGATAGACAGATAGATAGATAGATACACTATACTCAACTACACTACAACTACAACTACAACTACACTCCACTACACTCCACTACACTAATTTACACTACGCTAAATTACACTACACTACACTACACTACACTACACTACATTACACTGCACTACACTACATTCCACTACACTCCACTACACTACACTACAGTACACTACACTGCATTAGACTGGATGACACTGCACCATAGATAGACAGGTAGACAGATAGACAGACAGACAAACAGATAGATAGATAGATAGATAGATAGATAGACTGATAGACAGGTAGACAGCTAGACAGATAGACAGATGAAAGAGAGAGAAAGAGAGATAGATAGATAGATAGATCGATAGCTGGATAGATACATAGAAAATAGATAGGTAGGTAGGTAGATAGGCAGAGAAAGAGAGAGAAAGAGTGAGAGAGATCAAGCACCTTTCAATCCATCAGTGGCTTCGCTCTGCCATCCTTGATTCACAACAACCAACCTCTCCTATAGGTTTCCTATTTTTGAAACTTCCGCCACCGCCTTGTGCGGTACTACTGGTATGTCCAATTTCAATATAGAGTACAAGGGTGTGGCAGATTTGAATCCCTCATGATGATATGAAGATATCTGACATGTTATTTCCCATTTCAATAAATAGTTCAAGGGTGTGGCAAATTTTAATCCCTCATGATGATATGAAGATATCTGACATGTTATTTCCCATTTCAATAAATAGTTCAAGGGGGTGGCAAATTTTATTCCCTCATGATGATATGAAGATATCTGACATGTTATTACCCATTTCAATATAGAGTTCACGGGGGTGGCGGATTTTAATACCTCATGATGAGATGAAGATATCTGACATGTTATTTCCCATTTCGATATAGAGTTCAAGGGGGTGGCGGATTTTAATCCCTCATGATGACATGAAGATCAAGTTCCATGTTATTCCTAATTTTAAAATATAGTTCAGAGGGGGTGGCAGATTTTAATCCCTCAGGATATCTTAACATGTTATGATCTATTTCTTGATTGCCGCACCGAGCCTATACTTCCCCACTTTGGAAAATACTGAGATGGGTTTTTGGTGGCATGTCGATTCTGAGACGGCTTTGGATGGGAGGCTAGTGTAGACTAGTGTAGACCAGTCTCTAGAGATTATGTGGGGTACCCTCCGACAACGCTGGAAAATCCACCATTTAGTTCGATGATTGTCCCATCAAGGCCTCCATTTAGTTCGGGACTTTCCCAGCCGCATTTGATGACACTGTTGACTAATGGGATTACAGCAGCAGAAACACTGGAAGACACCTTTGGAATATCTAACTTGTCTAATCCACATAGCACTATATGGTATACCTATACCCATATATGGATATCTATATATAGATATATATATATATATGTAATTATATATATATATGGTACACCTATAGCTGCATGATCTACACGTGGCTGACTTTGGGAGTAAGTAGTGGAATATGGAAGAGGCATGGATGATCTGGTTCCCATAGTCATACATGACAACGTCCTTCCAGGACTTCCGTTGAAAATATCGGACTTTCACTAACTTCACATTTGTTTGGGTATTTTCTTGCTGTTTTTGCTGTTGATTTCGAAGTAACAAAAATCAGATTCCTACAACCATGCATGCTCTGCATGACTCATCATTTGTTGCTTCTTCCCATTATTGGATTCCGCACGATGGAGGCCGGCTGCGACGTTGCGCCAACTCCTTTTCACAGGTTGGCAGGAAAAAAAAACTCCTGCTCAGAGGGGAACTTTTCTAGATCATCCCAGTCCATACAGCCATGGCTAGCGGCGAAATGATGCTACATGTACCAGACTATATTTGATAGGTGTATTGATTTTCTCCCGTTTAACACTATGATTTCGTTGAGTTGCAAGTCAATACCAAATGTGAAACTGTATCACTAAAACACCCACTCCCGGGCTACTTGATATGATCAAACTGAAACAACACCAGCTGCGCTAATGAAAATAATCTTGAAATGATTCCCCTTGTGAAATATCACGTTATACTTTCAGGGTACTGGTTGTCCTCAATTTCTTTACGCCACGTTTGTCGTGACATCTGCAGTCTCCGTCTCCTTCTTCTTCTTGTCCGCAATCTCTTTCGCTTTCTTCAGCATCTCGATCGTCTGACAGTGTGTGGCGGATGTGATTTTTTTGAACCATGGATGTAGATCATTTTTCTGGGGTTTCCCCAGGTTTTCCACATTCTTTTTGTATGTTTAATCAAGGGTAAGCAATTATGAGAGGGTAGTAGAATCACCATCTCTATTGGTAGTTGACGGTGCATCTCAGTGAGGGAGTCATATCCAGGTTTGTCATTATTGGTCCATGTTCAATTCAACACCTGGAGAAACATTCAGGTATTTTTCCATGTGGGGTTGTATAAAAAACCGGGTATCTTTTTAAATGACCCAAAATCACGTCATCATTTATGTTCTTTTTTTTAAATAATTATATACTATCCCATGTATTTCCTATCTTCTCTTCCGCCAGATGCTTCTCAGGTCATTGACAGATACTATCCTTTAGAAGGGCAGCTCCGCGGCGGTGCCACAGTGTTTCACATATTCCGATGGGTTCAGTTACTGAAAACCCGAGAAGGTTCAAGTTACTGAAAACTATGGGTTTCAAACTATGGCTTAAGTTACTGAAAAACCCTCCAAATGAACAGCCAGACAATGCCGGAGATTTTATTCAATTTGGCTTACTGGTTGTGGCTTCATTGTGCCCCCCTACCCTCCATCTCCATCCCCATGTCGTCACCTTCATCCGGTTGCCCGGGTTACGTCGCTTGGAGGTTTTGGGCGACACCCCGGCGAAGGGGATGGCATTGGAGCCATAGCCTTGCGCGCTGGGCGCGATGGGGAAATGATGGGGGAGCCCACAAACTCATGAGTTGAATGGATTGAACAGCGGATGTATCAATGGAATTCCAAATGGATCTATAAATGGATCGATATAATGGATTCAAGCTTACAATATCTTACAACAATGGGAAGTAAGTTGTCAATGACAACCATAAGGATGTGATCAACAAAGATCAGAATTGGAACCAAAAACACAACCACTGGGAGATAGTCCAAAATGAATAAGAAAAATCCATCCACCGACAAACAAACTTCGAAACAATTAAGTGCATCCCCCATATTCGATTAAAACAAAGGATTCATCACTTCATTGGCGCATGTCAACCAACATCACCAAAAATCAAGTGGAACAGACTCGAGTCGCCGAGTCGCGAAAAAAAAAAAAACATCCAACGAGACGGGTCGAACATTCGATAGCCGATAGCTAGCTTGGAAATGAATACTCAACATATTGAATTATCATTTATCACTTCACTTTCATTATCCAATTGGAATCAATTGGACCTAACCGGAATTTATGACTCATTATACAGTACTTAGAATCCCAGTCATCTATATATCTATACCAGTCATAAAATCATATCAGATCCCATTGGTTCAATATTTATACCATATAAAATCATATCAGATCCGGTTCAACATGAAAAAAACAAAAAATAAACGCCGTCCGTCTTGGGCACCTTCCCCAGGCGTGTAGGGATGGACTCCCTCGGGAATGGGAGGATTTACCTGCGCGTTCGCTGCGGAGCTGGAGTACCATCTCTGGTTGGTGGTTGACCTACCCCTCTGAAAAATGATGGACTTCGTCAATGGGAAGGACAGTTGGGGCCCGATGACATTCCCAATATGATGGGAAAAATGAAAAATGTTTGAAACCACCAACTAGATCTGGTGATTTCTGACACTTTGCCATGGCAAAATCACCATCAAGTATTTTCTATGAACCAATAGATTCAACATGCCAAAATCACCATGCCAAAAATCAATTCACCATTGGTAATTCATGTAACTGAATTTTTGGCATTTTCCATCTGCTGAATTACCGGCTAAATCATGGGATGATCTTATCTACCATGTTTTCAGGCCGCTTAGGCTCTAAAACCGTACCGGCAAAATGTGATTTTCACGTTGCCAACAGAAAAAGAACTGTGTCGGCAAAACATTCGTGCGTTTTTTCTCAAAAAGTTTGTGGATTTTCTCAAAAAAAAACACTGGCATCTCCAAGATCTCAATACAAGTGTGTGTGGTTTCTGATCTTGGGGTGCCCCCATTTCAGCCATTTCAGATGAACCCCTCAGCTGACCCGTTAAGGCTCAGGCCAAATCCGCATGTCGCTCCTTTCCCTTCTTCATGATCAAAGGTTTCGCCTCAGCGAGGCATCAATGTGTTTGTTGAACGGATCAGTGGATTAGATTGGAAAACATGATACGGATAGCTGGAAAAAAACCATGCTTACCTCATGTTTATAGTGGATGGTTACCTCATGGTTACCTCATGTTATGTTAGCTGGAAAGTCTACTGAGATAACATGAGCGAACCATGAGGTAACCATGGTTTTTCTCCCGTGAAAGTCATGAAACACCTCCAGGGCTGGAAGGAAGAATCGTGCCAGTATTCCTTCCTGGAACCACCAAAACAGACAGTTGATATCCTGTTAAATCCTATTATATTTCTGATATCTTCGTTTTTTGGGGATCCAGAAATAGGCCTTGGGTCCCCCGGTCCCCTGTCGGCCAACAGCACCAAAGAATTCTTTGGAACGTTGAAAAGGCCCATCATCACCATACCAACACCCCAATAGGAAAAATCTGCGATACATGTTGATTCCTCAAGTTCCCAATCAGCAGCCAATACATTCGGGTTCCCACATCATGAGGTATATATATATATATTGCTGGCTCAGACATGTTCAATCTGCATGTGTTTTGCTCAAATTCCATCAAACAAGCTGTTATGTTGTGTGAGTGTGTGCATATCATTGAATCATCTATGTCTATTTTCCAGCTAAATAACATTGGTTTGTCTGAAAATGGTGGATGGATACCCTATGTGATTTTTGTTGAAAGGAAACATGATAACGAACCATTGGATTTTAGGGTTTTCCCAAACTTTTCAAACACACCATACTTTTTGCTGGTTTCCTTTTGTTCATCTAAGATAGCTATGGAAAATGGTCCATTTGGCTAGATATTCATCTATCAAAAATTGTGATTTTCCTTAGCAAAGTGTTGGATGGCCAGAGGGCAACATGAACTATCCCATGAAATCCCATAATTACAATTCAATCACCATTTATTACGATTAAATCCCACCTATATCTCATGGTATCCCACCATATCCCATAGAATCCCCATGATATCCCCATAAGATCCCAGTGAATTCATCACTTTTAACGCTGTTCAACAAGGCCCTGGCTGGCTCCCCTTGGGGCGCCAATTCCGCCTTCGGCGCCTCCGGCGCCTCCCCCTCCTGGGAGGTGCCGGTCAGGTGGCTCAAGAGTTGTGTAAACCTACCCTCTGGTAAACATACAAAAAGCTATTGAAAATGGCCATTGAAATAGTGGATTCACCCATTAAAAATTGTGATTTTCCATAGCTATGTTAGTTTACCAGAGGATACTCAATATATACCATCTGGTTATTTACATAGGAATATTCCGGGTATTTCCAAATCATCCATTTCAATTGGGATATAATCAATTGGGTATTATATTATTTATCCCAACTGATGATATCCCAACTGATTACAGTATATCCCAACTAATAATGTAGTTTATCCCAACTTAAATAATAATCTCAAAGGAAAACCATATGTTTATCCCAACTATATCCCAAATATTCATAGTTAAATCAACAACTTGATCAACTCTAGGACGTGGGGAAATTCGATGATATATACCATCTGGTTATGACTAACATAGCGAACTGGAAAATCCCAACCATAAATGGAGGTTTCTAGCCGGGAAAATCATCTGTGAATGGGCCATCTATACCATAGCTATGTTAAATAACCAAAGGGTAGTCTGAAAGGAAAACCATATCTTTATGGATTTCTTTATGGATACCTATATTGTTATTTGATAAATCCCCAAACTTTGGTCAATTTGTTGGCTTCAACTCGGTCAACGGTTTGAACGCATATGCTTAGGATGCCCTAAGAATTTCTAGGGCTGTCTTTTCTTGTGCTATTTGTTTGTCTGCAACATGTAATGAATCCTGTTCTTTGTCTGGTAAAGAACAACTAATGTCATTGTTTGGTTTTTCTGTGTAAAAAAACTCTGGTTTTTCGATGTGTGTAAAAACTCTAAGGTGGAATCGATTTGAATCCCAAATTTAGATCGTTACCCTAGGGTAAACATAGAAAAAAACTGGAAGTCCTGTGGTTTCCCTAGAAAAAATGCAGTTTTTTCCATCCCCGATGATCCCCTCCTCAGCTTGGATGTAGTCCAATTGCTCCATTTCCTGCGCTGCCAAGCTCGAACAATGAATTAATCTATGCAGATGTTCAATATTCCTATTTTTAATCTATTAATGATGTTTATTCATGTTCAATACAATATCTGAGTTTGGATTTCTATTTGTTTTGAAACAACAACATTATTTCAAGTCAAATTTCTATGAAGCTCACGATATTCTACCGGCAAAGAATGTCTGGAGATTTTTCACATGAAACCTATGTGATACTGCATACTATTGAGTATGAGTCAAATTGTTACATCATAAATAAGAGTAAATGATGTGTGCGTTTTTCAATGCCCAAATTATGACCAAACAAGCATGATGTGTCAATTTAGATAAACTCTGGTAGAACTCTGGTAGAGTCACGAGTTCGGACAATAATAAGAAACGACAGTGACATAGCATATCCCAAACATATCTACAACAATTAAAGAATTATCCCACGTGGTGATCATTTTGGCTACCCAAAAACCATCCGTGAGGACTTTGGCTTTACAAGGTGCCACAGAGTTTTTTTCAAGGCAGAAAAAACTGGTGATTTAACCAAGACAAACATGAAAGTTACAGTTGATTCATCTGATTCATGACAGCTAGTCGTTGGTAAAAATCAGCTGTTGACGAGGATTTATGATCATATTCACACTTTTTTAAGCCGTGACATCTACTCCATGGATCTCCTCGTGGGATTGGCATCACGGATATCCAGGACTTTAGTGGCGGCATAGATTCGGATGGTGAACGATAAAATCCAGTAGTTCTCCCATCATTATCCCATAATCATCACATTTTCCCATTCTCCCACAGTAAATCCTTTTTATGTCCTTTCAGTTTCCCATCTTTATCCAATCATGTGTCCATAGTGTTCCAATCATGATCCTATAGTTTTCGCTTGATGGGATAAACATGTTCATGTGGAATCATCTTTGATGTTATTTGTCCATTGGTTTTCCCATCATTTCCCTTCATGTTCTGATAGTTTTCCCCTTTATATATATATATATATATCTACATATATATCAAACAGAATATACATACATATGGATATAGATATATATATATATACATATATATATACATAAAGAACCAGCCTTATGATGGTGACTTGACGCTGAGGCTCCTCTGAGTCCTCTTTGGTCAAGACCTGGTCCTTCGGTGTTTCACCTGCAGGGGACTTCCTATGATCTATACCGGGTGACCCTCCAAAATCCATCCAAATATATCAATGTTAAAGTACCAAAAAAACACCGTTTTACACGGGTACTTGCAAGGTCTATGTATAATATATATATATATATGTATATATACACATATGTATACCTACACAAAAGTCACACGCTGTATATATATATATGTACGGCAAATGCCTGGGCTTTGCCCGGACCCGCAATGACGACAGGCGACGCATCATCATCATCATCATCATCATCATCATTAGAATTAAACC